GAAAGCAAAACTTCAGTCCTGCTCCGGAGCTTGACTCATTGAGTTGTATGTGTTGTTGCCTGCAAACACATTAAACTCAGTTGCACTCGATTCTACATGTCTCCAGTGATTCCTTGACTGCTGGTTTTAAAAATACTTATTTTGGACAAGAGCAAAAGTAGTCTAAAAGTTGATGACGAGGTCGGGACCCACCAGGCCCATTTCCGGGCCCCAAATTCTGCTTCATCACAGTCAATCAGTAAACGATTAGGAGGTGCAAAATATCAACCGATTCAGCAGTGATTATAAAAAATTTATACAGATTTATTACCCATTTTCATCAGTTGACATTCAAGTGATATCAAGCTGACACTATCAATGCCACACTGTGTGTGTGTGGTGGAAAAATAGATTTATGCTTGGCTATGATATAACTTCCAATATGTTTTATTATATTTTATGCCTACATTTGTCCTTCCTATACATCAAGGAGATGCCTACTGGCTATTAATGTCGATGGTAATGTTAGTTATTGTACGAGACCCGATACTTTTCTAATAAGATCATCATCTGTTATTCCCACAGTGGGAAAAATTGTGGTGTTACAGCAGCAAAGGGGATAGTGTAATAACAAGAAGCATCAGCAAGATGTAAATGAATATGTAAACAGTAAAATAAAACCGTTGGGCAGTTGGGATGAGTCAGCACCTCCAAGTCTGAGGCCATGGTTCTCTGTCGGAAACCGGTGGATTGCCCTCTCCGGGTTGGGGGAGAGTTACTGCCTGAAGCGAGGGAGTTCAAGTATCTCAGGGTCTTGTTCACGAGTGAGGGTAGAACGGAGCGTGAGATGGATCGGTGGGTCAGTGCTGCTTCTGCAGTGATAGGGGCGCTGCGCATGTCCGTCCTGGTAAAGAGGGAGCTGAGCCGCAAGGCGAAGCTTTCAATTTTGGTCCATTTACGTCCCAATCCTCACCTATGGTCATAAGCTCTGGGTAGTGACCGAAAGAATGAGATCGCCGATACAATCGGCGGAAATGAGTTTCCTCCGTGGGGTAGCTGGGCTCAGCCTTAGAGATAGGGTGAGGAGCTCGGACATCAGGAGGGAGCTCGGAGTAAAGCTGCTGCTCCTTCGCGTTGAAAGGGGTCGGTTGAGGTGGTTCGGGCATCTGACCAGGATGCCTCCTGGACGCCTCCCGCTGGAGGGCCCACTGGTAGGAGGCCTCGGGGTAGACCCAGAACACGCTGGAGGGATTACATATCTCGTCTGGCCTGGGAACACCTTGGGGTCCCCCAGGAGGAGCTGGAGGTGTGTTGCTGGGGAAAGGGATGTCTGGGGTGCTTTGCTCAGCCTGCTGCCCCCGCGACCCGGCCCTGGATAAGCGGATGAAAATGGATGGATGGATAAAATAAAACCCTCCACTGCTTTTGTTTTCTCTCCTCATCCACTTTTCATGCATATACTCTGTCACATAACGGCAGTGATAGAATTCAGAGGTGTAAGACATATTTGAAATTTGGTAAATAATCATCCCTCCTATTGAAAATCATTTAGACAACACTAAAATACATTTTCTTTAAACTACTCTGGGTATTATACTCTCTCGAAATGTCACACACATATGTTGTGATATCTTGTGATGTTTCAGAAAGAGACTTCTGCTTAACCAGTCAATAACAAACAGACCGGATCAAGTAAAAGGTAAAGAGACACTTCAGACACAGCAACAATCTGAGTCGCTCTGTGGTGAAAATAATCACTTTTGATGGACATACAGTGATGATGTTTAGATGTGCTGTGTGCTTCCATTACAGCCTGTTCCATGGATGCCGACCACTGCCAGTTCCCTGAACACTGGAACAGTTACAAAAACTGTTCACATCAGTCTTTTCGATCCGTTTAAATGGGGAAAAAGAATCCAGGTTGAAAAATGCCTAAGTTATCCTTTGAAGCAGTAGCCAGACCCCCCTGAGGTGAGGGAGTAAAAGGTTGGTTGGTATACAGAGCAGCAGTGTCGTGTGGGAGAATGTGGGTAGGCTGAGGACCAACCAGACTTACACTTAGACTTAGACTTTATTGTCCCCTTGAGGAAATTCTTTTACACAGCACCATCTCCATTCCCCAATGTTCACCACAGAACAGAACAAGACACACTCTTGGAAACACACATTAGAAAACAGACAAACAAAACAGTGTCAACACTTAACAAAGTCCACACTCTGGCCTGTTCAGCGAGGCCTTTTGTTCAGGGCTGCTATGACAGCAGGCATCAGGCTTTGCAGGGCGATCCCTTCTGCACCTCAGTACTCTGTATCTGCATCCTAAGGGGAGAGGGGTGAGGTGGGTGTTTAGTGGAAGTTTGATGTCCTGTTCTATTGAGGTTGCAATACGTGTTATGGTCCTGTTGTTTAAATCTGTTTGGTTTGGTGTGGGGAGACCAATTATTCTGGAAGCTGTGGTGGTTATGCGTGTGAGTTTGGCCTTGTTTTATCAGATAACATGTTGAAGAAGCAGGTGGAACAGTACTAAAAAGAGTCAATCAAAAAGAGACTGCTGCATATTGGATGAGCTGCAGAGGTCGGAGGCACCAGCCAGCAGGGAGTTGCTGTAGTCTGGCATGAGATGACAAGAACCTGGAACAGAACCTGGTCTGCCTCCTGGGTGTGGAATGAACATATCCTTCTCCCTTCTACCCGGATTATTTGTTTACTATTTTGTAAAAAAGTTCGAAAACATATGGTCCCCATTTCTCTACCAACACCTGTCTTGTAGCCACCCATTGAAAGTGAACAAACCAGTCTTTTTGATCGACTCATTTTAGTGTCTAGTACATATCAGCTCAGCCTGTCCATCGTTCGAGTGCTGAAGAATCCCAGACTTTTCCCACTCACCTACTTGCAATTATTGTAGGGTACTTCTCTACTTTGAGTAAATGAGAACTGATTAAATAGGACTTGAATTCAGACAGCTTGGCAGCTGACCAAATGAACGGTTCTCTTGAAGTGGGACGTCTGTTATGCCCAGGGATAACAACATATCAGTGCAGTCAAATCCTATTTCTCTAAGTAAGTCCTGTATGTAAGCCCATCTGTTGGGCTTACATGGCCTATGGCCTACTTATATACAAGCATACAAGCATAGGCTGTAACTATAATTCATAAAACAAATTATGAATCAGAAGCTCATGAATTGGTAAAACAGATGAAGGAGGGTGATGGAATTTGACTTTGGATATCAGACATTAAGAGTTTTATATTACAATAACAGAATTTAACCTTGGAGCAACACCCATCAAAAAATAGAAGCTGATAACCATTTAACGTAATTAATCTAGTCTCATAGACCGAAGGCTGCTACAGAGTTCTTTTGCCTGGTATACAGTGACTCGGCATTAATACACACATAAATCACAAGATCAAATATCTCTATAAATGAAAGATTTATTGAACTACTAACTACACAGCAAAACTACTCATCAAAGATTAAAATAAATGAAGAATAACTGTAAATAAATTATTAAACAGTGAACACAGTGATGACATCGAGTGAATAATTGAATAACTGAACCCATGAATGCAGCAACAATACAAATTTGTGCATGAAAACCTTGAAAATCTTAATTGCACTACAGTAATGAAGATGACCAAATGGATGAAAGTTTTAAAATTAAAGGAAAGTTAATGTCAAGCATAGTTCAACAGCAGAGAGGAAACTTAACCTATGGAACACTACAAGTAGTAAATAAGATACACCTTTTTACACGTGCACGCGCGTGAGGTGCGTGCGTGTGATGTGCATGTGACGTGCGTGTGATGTGCGTGTGACGTG